CATTCCTTTAGTCATTGAAATTGTAGAATGTTCTGAGTCATGGTGTGTGAGGTACCTCTCATACCAGTCAAATACTTTGAATGGCTTCTGAGATTCCACAGTTGCTTTCGGAATCAGCATCTCCTGCCCAGACAGTCTAATTTTTTATCTTGCATTGAATCCAGCCTGCTGTTTTGTACCTCCACAGATATTGTAGAGATCAACTCACCAGGATGCCTGCAACAGCACCTTTCAAACTCTCAATCTCTAATCTGGAAGGACAAGGGCAGAAGATGCATGGGAACACTACCCCCTGCAGGTTTGCATCCAAACTGTTCACCAGCCTAACTTGGAAATATATCACCATTCCTTCAGCAGTGATGGGCCAAAATCCTGGATCTCCCTTCTGAACTATACTCCAAGGACTGCAATGGTTCCACAAAGTAGATCACCACCAGCTTCTCAACAGTAAGGAAGGGTGGGCAATAAATACTGGTCCAGCCTGCGATGCCCACATGGCATTAACTACAAACAAACATCACGTTCTGTCCTAAGTAAGGCTCAACAACATCTCTGTCCAAAAGTTTCAGCATTCAGTTTCTCACCCAATGTTTACAACACTCCAGAAAGATGAAGAAGCTAAGAATTTTACATGTCAGTTAGCAAGGAGCTGAGGTGGGGAACTGATTGGATAACACTTCCACTCTTTGAAAGGGCTTGTACGAGCAAGATAGGCTGGATAGTCTCATTCAGTGCTGTATCAGGCTGCATTTCTATATTCGTGGGACTTTCAAAGCCACCATCAGGTGTATTAGTAGTAGTGGCATAGTGGTAAAGTCGCTGGAACAATAACCTGGAATCGTGGGGTAATCCAGCTGGTGATATGGGTTCAAATCCCATCATAGTGGATGGTAAGCATTGCATTTAATAAAAGCCTGGGATAAGAAGCTACCCTCATGGTGACCATGTAACCAGTGTCAATTGTTGTGGAAAAACAAAATCTGGTGCACATGGGGAGGAAATCTGTTGTCCTTTCTTAGTCTGGTCTATATGTGACTCCAGACCATGTGGTTGATTCTTAACTGCCCCTAGGCAATTAGGAACGTTAGCAATGAATAAATAAAGTTTAAGAATACACCAGTGGTTTCCAATTTGGGTTGGACACTGGTTCCCAGCCTAGTCAGAGACGCCAGCATCCTGAGAATGAGCTTTTAAAAAGTGATTTGCATCATGTGAGCTTTGTATTTGTTAAAATATAACGAAAGGCAGGCTCAACATTTTTGTCTGTGGTGGGATAGGTGCGGGACAATGAAAATACCCCACACAGCACGACAGCATAGTAAATTTCTGGAGGCGAAAGGTTGGCGAGGGGAATCTCAGGACTGGTGTCGCCAACATTGGTTGATGCTTGAGTGTCACACTGAGGGAATGCTGGACTGTCAGAGGTGCTGTTTTTTGAATTAGATGATAAACTTAGAGCCTAGCCTGGTCTCTCATGTGAACACAGAAGATCCCATGGCACCTCCTTCAGCAGCTCGGGAGTTCTATCGATGTTCTGGTCAATATTTGGACCCCAGTCAACAATGCCAAAACTGGAATAACTGATCATTGGCGATTAAACAGCTCGCAGGATCTGACTGTGCGTACACTGTCTGCTGGTTTGGGTTTCAAAAAAACTCTCCAAACACTGTGTGTTGGTATAAAGCATCTTGGGACAACCAGAGATAACAAGGTGTAGAGCTGGATGAACACAGCAGGCCAAGCAGCATCAGAGGAGCAGGAAAGCTGACGTTTCGGGCCTAGACCCTTCTTCAGTCTGAGACAACCACAGGTGTGAGGGATGCTATGAAAATGCCCGTGCTCTTTCTTTCAGTAATAGGAATGTCATTACAAAAAAGGTCTAGGCATAAAACAGTAGGCTCTTCCAAAAGCTGCCAAATTCTTGGCCATTTTGCTGCCTTCTCGCGAATGAGGACCAGGGAACCAAATCCACGAGATTTGTTAGAAATGGCAAGGTAAAAAAAGCAAAGCTGTACCACTAGGTATTTACATATGCATCGAGCGAATAAATTGCACTCCAATGATCTGGAAAATGTGGTTAACATCCAGTGGTGTACAATTATCAGGTGTGAGAAAAAACAGAGGTGTAACCAAAAGTAAGAATGTCACAGTATTATGACATTTTTCATATCACAATATCTAATTATGATGGAGAGCAGATGGGACATTTAGTATTAACACTGCGCTGGAACAGACAGAGAAGCATTTTTCTCTTCTATTCTCTTGTGCTTTCCAGCTTAGCTCCTTCAGTCATGGTCCTGCCTCAGAGACAGAAATTTCTGGGTTCAAACTGCTCGAGCCCACAGTCTAGGCTGACACGTGGGTAAAGCGCTAAAGGAGTACAGCTCTGTCAGCGGTGCTGCGTTTCAGGTGAATTGCTGGCTACAGTGGTTCGGGAGCAGGTCACACAGTACTATTCAAATACGAGCAGGGAATTCTTCCATTGAGTACCATGACGTGTTCAGTAGTGAGTTTACAGCCATGGTACCTGGAGCTCCTCCACCAGGGGGGCAGTAATGGGGAGAGTGGGGTCAGGTCTGGGTCTATCGTACTCTAATTAATTGATTGGTCTAATTAGACATAATTATTATATCACATGTCAACCAGGATGCTAAAAGCCAAATTAGTTGGTCTTTTCCCTTCTTGACAGCTCCTGCAGACAAAGAGTAAGCAAGACTCTTGGAAAGGATTGCAAGATGGAATAGTGGAGGTAGAAGCTGAAAGTCAACTCCGAGGCCGAATGGCTTCCTCTTCAGGGTTCACCTCGTGATTTTGTGACAAGGAATGACGAATTCGGCCTTGTACAAAAACTGAGGAAAAACCTCTTATTCTTTGGACACTGCATCTGACACCAAACTGACATAATCAATCTTGTGAATGAGCCACTTTTACAAAACATTACTGAGATCACACTTGATACGAGTCAACAATTCACACTATTGAAGAGGCAATTCATAAAATTTGCATTCTCAATGCCAAGACTTGGTGTTCCATTCCCTGCCCCTGCCTACCCCCACACCCCATTTCCCAAAGTCAAAAACAATCTCCAGCGCAAAAACTTAAGTATTTTATTCTCCTTTATTTTGGCAGTTTAGCTGACAGCTCTTCCTAGATTTATTTTTTTTTTCGCATTTTCAGCAGCTCCTCAGCTAGATACTCCCCTCTTTACTGATACGTTCCCTGCCATGTCTGTGGTGTTTATTGTTCTTTTCTAAAGATGAGTTTCTGAGATATACCTACAATCAGATGGGAATGTGACCATGAAATCTACTTCAACTCAGGCACAATACAAATGTGAGATACTTGAAGAGATAAAAACAAATCTGCTCTTCAAGCAATACAGTAAATTTGCAACATCATGTCAGTTGAAGTCAGACATATCCTGCTGTTTGAGTTCACCATTCAGGTGGCGATTGGGAAAATCCTACTCCAATCTTTCCATATTCCTTCAGCAAAATTCAAAAACAGCTTTTGCTTCCTTAATAACTGTGGCTGTTATCAGAATGGGCAGAGGAAACACATCAAGAGTGACCTCCCTGAAAACATGCAACATCCCCAGTGACTCTTGGGAATCCCTTGCCAAGACTGTCCAAACTAGAGAAGAACTACGGTGGCCCAGTGGTTAGCACTACTGCCTCATAGCGCCAGGGACCCAGGTTTGATTCCATCCTCGGGTGACTGCCTGTGTGGAGTTTGACACTTTCTCCCTGTGTCTGTGTGGGTTTCCTCCGGGTGCTCTGGTTTCCTTCCACAGTGCAATGATGTGCAGGTTAGGGTGGATTGGCCATGCTAAATTGCTCCATGGTATCCAGGGATGGATTAGCCATGGGAAATGTAGGATTACAGGGATATGGTAGGGGGGTGGGCTTGAGTGGGAATCTCTTCAGAGGGTCAGTGCAGACTTGATGGGTGGAATGGCTTGCTTCCACAGTGTAGAGATTCTATGTAGAAGGATCTGTGATGGTGCCAACCATTTTGAGAATCTCCAAACGTGGAGGCAAAGCACAAACAGTGCAGGGAGTGTTCAAAAGCCCATCTGTTTCAGCAAGCACCACCTTCCCCTCCTGTGCATGCACAACCCATTAGAGGAGCAAAAGTCATCCTTGGGCCTGGGGGGCTGCTGAAGAGAAGAGGCCAGAGAGTTTACCTGGATCTACCTCAATACTCACAGAGTGTACAAGTTTTTGTTTAAACCAACCTGTTCAGAAATGCTATTACATACCTCTGGAGCAAATGGGACTTGTCCATGGGCCTCCAGACTCAGAGATAGGGGCACTACCACTGCAGCACAAGAGCCCCAGTGCACAAGTACTTTTAGAAATAAGACAAGTGTGTTAAGCTGACAAAGTCACCTCTGATTGACTGATCTGAAAGTCATCTATTAACCCACTCTCTGCATCTTTTAATTAATGTATAACCGGTGATGGTGGTGATGGTGGAGATAATGGTATAGCAGTAGTGCTACTTGCCTTGTAATCCAGAGCTGCAGGGTAATGTGCCAGGGATGTGGGTGTAAATCCCACTACAGCAAAGACTGAATTCAATGGAAATCTGGACTAAAAGTCTAGCCTAATAGTAACCACACAACCATGATCAATTATTGTAAAAATGTATTTAGTTCACTGAAACCCTTTCGGGAAGGAAATCTGCCAACCTTAGCTGGTCTGGCCTACATGTGATTTACTGAATGTGGTTGACGAATCTGAACTGCCTTCTGGGTAATTGCAATGGGCAATAAATGCTGGTCTAGCCAGCGATACCCACATCCCATGAAGGTATTTTTAAAAAGAGAAACAAAAATGCCTCAGCAACTACAACCAGCTGGCTTACTCATTTGGCATTTGCTAATTTCGTCCCTCAATGCAATCTGAGCACTAACCCACGCACTGAATCGTATCTACTTCCAGCCGCACAGTGAGTTGACAAAGTTGAGGGTCATCGCTGACCTTGAACCTGCTTACCTTGTGAGTACAGAAGAATCTGCATCTCTAGAAGCACGCACGTGAAGAGCTGAACCAGATTTTCCAAGCCCAACAACTCAAAGGCTTCCCTCAGCGGGAAGTCAAACAACGGCAACTCACTCAGCCCCGGCCGTTGGCAGATAACAGGCCCGTAGACCCCGGAGAACTTCAGTGAGCGGCCAGGAGGGGGCAGGGGCACCTCGTAGAGGATGTTATGAATGTAGCTCTCCAAGGGGAGGGGTGGCGGCTGCTGGGAGGTCACTGCCTTGTGTAGCTGCAGCAGGAACTTCCGAGAGGCCTGCATGAAGGGCAGCGGGGTGATGAGGCAGATGCACTTCGACACAAACAGGGTGTCCCGGCTGATGTCGTACGAGTTATACCGCTGAAGCTTCGCCAGGGACGTGCTGTCGCCGTCGTCGATGCTGCTCGCCAGCGAGTCCATGCTGCAAGAGGACGAGGCGTAAACGCTGCTGTACTGTTCCACATTGTGCATCTGGTAGAGTGTCTGCATGGCGCTG